ATTTATTCCATAATTTATCTCCTTAAATGTTTTCTGAAATTAAAAACTAAGAAAAAACTTTTTTTTATTGATATGGAAACATTACAATAAGTGCTTCTTTATAAATGTCATCGATTTTTTTAGTATTATACATTAAATATTTGCTTAGTATCATTGTCTTAACATCAGTATTAGTATCAGGTTTTTCCGTACGATATGCTCATGGGGTTACGACACACCATACAAAGCAATTTTTGCATTATCGTGGATCGCCTGCTTGGACGAGCAACGACATTGCCTTTGGGCTTGGCCAACTCACAGCCGGGCCCTTTACAGGTTCCTCCCAAAAGTTCTTGAGGAGCACTGGACCTTTGCAATTGCAATATCTTCGAATGTCTCAAATGTTATTTCTTTACATGTTTTAATATCTTCAAGCGATGTTGAACCAGATACTTTACTTAATACAACTTTAAAACAATTTTCTATCATTTTAGATATACACTGTTTAATCCACCTAGTGCAGTATTTATTATTACATTTTTCTTTATTTGCAAATTCTTAATCTACTATTGCCAATGTAGTATTCTGGAATGTTCACATACTTTGTGGATTTTTCAAAGTCATCATTGTCATTTAGTTTAAACTCTGCTGTTAACTGTGTTTCGTTGTTTTTAATATTGATTTCAATATTATTTACTTTAAAAACAAGTTTTTGTTTATTTTCAAGGAAAAAAGCTAAATTCTCAACTGTATGATTTTACCACGAATTGGAAATTCTTGCAGTCCCTAAGTTGCTTCTATCGCACGTTCGTGTCTAGCATAAACTTAACTCTAAATTTTATTAAATATTTCTTGGTCTTGGCCTTTTAATTTTTTAATTCTGATGTATGGTGGATCATTACATTTATGCATGCAGTCAAAAATATACTTGACACTTTTACTGGTCGCTCAGAATTTGACGTTTATATGACATTTCGATATCTTCAACAAAAATTCTTTATACGGTACAACCATCAAATCAACTACTTAAATTTAATATTTTCTCCAAAAGTTATGAACATGTTGTTTAAAAGAATTATTTTCTCTTTTATATTCGGGCGTAAGTTTGATAAGCATTCGTTTGATCTAAAGTAACGTTTGTAAAAGGTTTTAGAATGATTTTCTTACTTTTCGATCACTTATACAAGGACTTTTTTGTGTGTCACGTCCAAAAAGTATGTATTTAATTACTGATTCTTTAGGTTTTGTATTACCACAAGAAAGTTTAATTATCCATTCGTTCAGGTGTAATAGTTTTTTTAAGTGTTTTATATTACTTTTATAAAGAAATCTGGTCCACAACATTCTATCATCATATACATTCTATCTTGATGATATTTTTGCATATTTCTAAGACCTCTGTTATATATATATATATATATATATATANATATATATATATATATGGAAGTATAAAAAGATTTTAGATATGTTATTTTGTCTCAAAATTTTCGAAAATGTTGGATGCGCTAACAATAATTGCGACTAGTTAACCTTAATAATATTCAATTCGTGAGTTTTTAAATTATATTTCAAATAATTTAAAGGTCACATTGAATCATCATGTAAGAATATATGAAAAATTGTTGTGTCATCCGTCCTTCCAATAATAATGGATTTGAATTTATTTTATTTCGTCTGTATAAATAATGCAACGTAGTTACTTTTCGCTCTTATTTAAGTAAATTTTTAAATAACTATCTCCTAAGAAATAACATAATGGAAACACCATAGAATCGAATAAATAAAATATTTTGAAAACAATTTAATCGTTTTAGACAGAAATTTTCGTCAAATTCTTCCTGTGATAAAAAACAGATATAGAAGTACGTTAATATCTGACATTATTAAATTATTATGTTAATAAAAATTTTTTCATATTTAAAATCCACTATAAATGTTCGTTCAATGGACATACGTTTTTTAAATTTATTATAATCACTCGCCACTGTGTTGCCTTTCCCTGGAGAGGACTTTATATTTCAGGATATATACTCCTCGCTGGTTAAGCCGGCGCTCTCCAGGCTAATTAGCATCTCCAGAGAAGCCCGATATTTCAAGGACCACTTCTCGCCGGTAAGGCCGGTGATCCCTGCCTGGTGCATTGGATCCGCTAATCCCTACCTCCTTACACTATTTTGCATTCACCCAGGCCTGAAAACCTGTGGGGCAAGGAAAAAACCCTGAAATCACTCTGAAGGCAATTCCACGGAAAAACCCGCCCCGAAACAGCCGGGGTTACATAGGATCTTTTCCCGATGAAAACAGTTTTTGAAAAAAATCTGCATTCACCGGGAATCGAACCCGCGATCCCTAGAACAGCGTTGTATCAGTAACAAGCACGCTTACCACTGAGCCAATGCCGCTCTGGTTCTTCCTATATTATATGGTTGTTTTTAGGTCCATAACTACTAGCTACCCTGCCCATTGCCACCTTATGCTAGCTCGCGCCACCCTACCAGCTCATCACAAAAAATCAGGTAATATTCTGCTTATTTTGACATGACTTAAAGGCAAAACTTTCTTGCCCAGTTGTTTTGAAGTAAGTTAGTCGTAAGTTGCGAAAACCCTTTTTTTCAGAGTGAAAGTCTGTGAGTTATCTGTATTTAATCTTTTATTAAAATTTACGATCGATCGAGTTTTTGAATTGTTTTTGATTTTTTCGCGATCATGTAAGTTAATGCTTGCTTTTTATATAACATTACAATAAATATAATATAATCTCGTATTTTTGGAGTAAAATTTGAAAAATTATAGACATAATTATTTTTTTGTAAAGTGGTTGTGTTATTAAAGTATACGAAATGTCTAAGTTCTACCTCTAAAAAAATCAATTAAAAAAATTTTACTTTCTCTTTTATGCAAAGAATAGTATATAGACCAAGCATAGGGTGTAGTTCCACTTGTATCTATAGATTATTTTTTTTATTGTTCACCATCGCCCGTAGTCTCAGATATGGCTTTTTTTTACACAAGAATAGTGTTTTTCAGCCATCGGTGCACCTAAGTTATGACCAAATGTTTATACGCACATGAACATCTGGACCAACTTATAGTTACACCTATGATCACGATGTCGAAGCGAAAGAGAATCAGTTAATCGACCCCCGAGAATCAAGAGCACAGGCAAAACGGCGAGACCTGAATGGTCACCAGACGGTCACCCATCCAAGTACTAACCGCGCCGAATGCAGCTGAACCTCGAAGATCGATGGGACTGCATCTCTACCGTTGTGCCACCGCGACCACTTGTATCTGTAGATAATGAAGTTGAACTTCATGTCAGCAGTATAGATGTATGGGTACGTGATCGGGCAATAAAAAGTTGAAAAATTTTGCTTTTAATATAAAATACGAACATGTTTATTCTCACTATCTTGAGTATACGCTATCTTTAGTCTTAACAATCAAAAATACAATCGTAAGCTGAACCAAAATAAAGCAAGATCAAATCAAATAAGGAGATACAAAAGCAGGGAGTGCGTATTGACTGACTGACCGCGCAGGAATGAATCAAGCTAAACGTTTTCGATGCTGCAGTGCAGCGTTGCAGCTTCTTGACTTCTTGCTGCTACGCATGCGCTGAAATTAAGTTATGAGTGCCAAATATATATCTCACACTTAAATAAGCAGGGATTGTTATGTTATATCGTAAACGAAGATCTGCTAAAAAAAAAAAAATAATAAGAAATCCAGGCATTATTGTGTACTGTTTTTGCGTTTTCTCAGTCCTTGTACAAGGTAGCTCTCTAGAGAGTAGAAATTACACTTCAAAATCAGAAATCTGGCCATATCAGTTATATTTTCTGCTGGTATTATGCTGTTTTAATCCAGGAGCCCGAAAAATGGTTAGGTTTGCTTTTATGAGATATCCTGTGAAAGCATGTCACTAGAGCATAGGTAGATTACTGATGCTGCAATAAAAATAGTCATACAATTGTTTTGTGATAGCATTCAAACGTTCCACGCTGGTTGTAAGTAATTTAATGAGGAATATAATAATTAAACAAAGAGTACTGGATAGTTATACAGGAAAATAATCAAAACCGAGCTTTACGGAAACTTAATTGAGAATTTACAAAAACAAAAAAAAGTCACTTCTTCAAGTTACGTTTTTCGCTTTTTATTATTACCAGTAAAACAAATAGTTATTTTGTACGCCTAACTAAGGTAACAGTGTGAAAATACAAATAGTATAACGTAAGTCAATGATAGAATAAACGAATACAAATGACTTTTATTTTTCACTATTTGTACATAAAAATTAGTATTAATTTAAAAAGAAAAATTGTTTTTTAAGCTAAATAGTACGTGTGAGTATAGCTTAATTTGATCTGCCTGCTTTCTAACTAGTCTTTTATCCTTATTCTTAATAATACTGAGCGTTAAAGCATTGATGACTTAGTAGCAAGTGTGCCAGCTTACTAACCAGAGAAACTCAAGGAGATATGGGTTTGATATTTTTCCCAGGCTGATCTGATAAGAGGAGTATCCAGGATGCCGATAAGTTATTTTTTTATGTATGAGGCAATCAACTTATTTTTACGAAAAATTCTGAACCTGCTTATTTCCAAAAAAAAAGCCAAAATCTGGCCAGCTTCTTGAGAAAGTAACTATTAAATAAAGCTACCGTAAGGCCCTATAAATAGTACTTAGTAAGTTTTTTTACAAATCTGCATGTTATACCACAAGATTTTTTGTTAGTAATGTGATATGAAAGCTGTTTGTAGCATTTTTATTATTATTGTATTTTAAAGAACAGTATTAATACTTTTAAGTCTTTTTTTACAAGTATAGCCATACCCACCAGCATGTACGTCGAAATGCACATATATATATCTGTAAAACCACACACACTAACATTGATTGCTAATTTTTGTACACCAGTTTTCAAATTCATCCCTGTATTGAAGCTTTTTTATTAAATCTGAAGTAAGATATACCCTTTTATATATTTCTGTTAATTAGTTATTATTTTACAGAATTCATCATTCACTTCCGACACATACAGCATAGACCATTTTTATAACGGCAAAAATAATGTTAAAAAGACATTTATTTTATATGGTCTAATTGGTACCAGTGGATTTCTTCCGCTGCACACTTATTTACGATCCTTGGCTGAAAGTAATAAAATAAACTATGTTCTTCGTCATCACGCAAAGGTTAGTATTATTAAATATTTCACATTAGAAAATGTTCAGTATACAATTGAACAATGTTATTTTTTTTTATACACTAGTTTTTTGCAATGATACAATAACGAAAAACAATTTAAAAGCTTGAGACTGATTTCTTTTCGCCCATTTCTTATCAATATCCACCTGTTAAAACGTTGTCACGTAAATATTTATCTCAGCATAAGTTTACCTATCTTTATTCTGCGATAGACTGGTACAAATTTTTATACATGATTTATTCGTTTTTCCAAAATAATTATGTAATATTTATCTACACACCGTGTTTGACAATAGATTTAACAGCTAAGAATGTTATAGTGTAGAAAGTTTTATAATAGTGTACGATTTCCGATAATACATGTCAGATTGCCGTGAATTTTGTTTTTCAGGCAAGTTTGGCAAGTTTGCGTAGTGATATATTAATGCTATGTTTTAAACAGGCAATTCTTACCATTGTACCATTTTGGTATATGATTTGGTTTATTGCAGTAGTTAAAAACTTTGATAACTTTTCCTTTTTTATGTCCCTGTCGCAAATGTACCTATTTTATTTTTTGTTACACAACTAGCTTCTTTCTGTTTGTTATTTAATGTAGGAATTATTTGTTTCATAGCTCGTTATGGTTCATACACCATTTACGGTAATTTTGTCATGAAGCCAAATTCCGTGGGTTCACGTACTTTTTTCGTCCGGTACGATATCAATTGCATTGAAAAAGAAAAAAACTTAATACTTGCAGCTAGCGATATCAATGAGAAAATCCCAAACTTGGATTTTTGCTAAAATATTTGACTCAAGTTTAACTAATGTTCATCGAATCTTCTGAAAAATTAACTAAGCAGTTCAGTTCACAGTTGGTCTGCATGTACGACATATCGAAAACGTCGAGCAGGAGATGGTCTCGAATCCCGGCCACCGAGATTCCGCGTGCGACACAAGCACGCTTAACCCCTTGGCTGTGACAAGATCGTACGTACGGAGATACGTATCGTCTACATATCGTACTAACACTATCATTTTTTTTAATTCATGTTATAAAATTGACTCTATAAATTTCTTTTAAAATGTTCATGTCAATGCATTCACTCACAATTTTTAATAACTCATTAGTTCAACCAATTTCGTGAACTTTGACAAAGAAACTTCTCGTCCTTCTGATGCAAACGAAATATGCAACGTTGTACTTAAGATTTTTATAAAAATGTCTACCATAACGTTGATTTATGTTTTTGGGTCCTTGAAAAATACTGTAAAAAGTAACGTTGGCTGGCACCATCTTTGTCGACAAATGTTTCGTGAGATTGTATGCCTTTATTATACTTGAGAGAATGTCTACGAAGCGACGATTGCTTGTGGTTGTTAATTTTTGCCATTTTATTTCTTTAATAGTTGTGATTAAACGTTAAGCTATCGTAGACTTTGTTTGTGGACTGTGTTCTACTTTAAGTTTAATTTTTTTTTCTTGTAGAAAAATAGCATTTTGCGGCCTACAAATTCTTTACCTTTTTTCGTTTAAAGTCACACAGGTGTTCAAACATCAGTTTAAAAAAAAATATGTTAAAATGCTTTAGTAGTATTTTTTAAAGATAGGTTTCGCCTAATCGTATTTGATGACGTCATTGTTTACCATGAGAAGATAAATATAGCTGCCATTGTAAGCTTTTAAAGCTCTTAAGTCCAATTAAACAGTATAATAATTATTTTCTCCTTTTTAGTTGCTCCTTCGTCATGATTACAGCAATGATAACGCTACATACTATGTAATTTAGAGCATAACTATTTCTATTGTTCAATCAATATTTCGGTATTATGCTAATGGGCTGTTTAAGATTACATATTTATGAAATACAAAAGAGTGTGAATGGGCACTATAAGTGTAACATGGAAACGACAAAAAAATCTTTTTTTAAATAATTTTTATAACATTGTTTCCCTTAAAAATGATGATACAACAAGCCACTCAGACTTTCCTGTTCCCTTAAAAATTATACTTCGTAGGAGACTTATAACATTATAAGAGGGTTATTATGAGGAGTAAAGCATGTAAGCCAACGATTAAGTGTAAGTAAAAAAGCCTTTTTTGTATGGTATGAAGAGACAAGATTATGCAAACAACAGAATGATGATAATAATAATAATAATAATAATAATAATAATAATAATAATAATAATAGTAATAATAGTGGTAATGATAACAATAATAAAAGTAATAATAATAATAAAAATAAGTGACAAAGCTTTTTTGTGGGAAAAAATTGGAATGGCAAAATATTGATTCAACAATAATCATAGTTATGTTCCAAATTACTTGGTGCTATCATGCTGTGTTATCATTGCTCCAACAAATTAGTTTCTTACACGTCGTCAAAGTTACGCACGTTATAGCTTGTTAAAAGGCTTTTTGGGGGTTAGGTGGTATTGAACGGAGAGGGAGAGTTAAGGGTGGCTGAAGTCATCTTCGAAAGTGTCGATCAGCAGTCAGGATCAAGCAGCAGTAAGCACCCTGTGCTAGAGATTCAAGGTTCTGGAGGTAGTGCACTTCTGCTGAAATTCCTTTTAATTACTGCAGTTGAGTGCCGCGGGTAGTTGATTTGGCAATGACTCGCAGCAGTCAAGGATAATTTGTAGCTAGTGTATTTGTCTGGTCCTCGCAGAGGTTGGACAACACTGCCACTCAATGCAGACGATGATGGCAAGAATAGGTGAAGTTAAAGTCGTCATACAGAGCTTTTTGCGTGGTTTTATACATGAGTATTAATTGCAATTAATTATCGCTTCAGCTACTACCGTAGGACAGGTTTCGTTGAGCGAAAACCTGGCATAACTTAGACTGAGTTATCTGGAAAGATGATTTTCAAAAGTCGCGCAACCCTTCTGATATACTACAAGCTATTTTCTTACTTGCGACGTTTACCAGAAACTAATAGTCGCCACCTAACAAGCACTAGGCAGTAATATCAAGCACAAAGTTTGAAATTGGGACTGCGCGCGACATTTTAAAAATCAAATTTATGTAAAACGATTGAAATTACGGAATAGTAATTATTTTAACAGTTAATAATTGATAAATTATTACCCTGGATGGTAACAAGCTTTTTTGGGAAATTTATTTCTTATGAGTGTATGTCAACTAAAGGCATCTTGAATCTTGACTTGCTAGCCAACTTATTACACTTGGCCGCAAAAGTTTATTTCTCCCATTACTCAAGAACTTGTTACTACCTGCGTATGCAGTTGGTTGTGTCGCTTTATAGTGAAATTTGTCCCACTTATCATGCATTACCTTTTTTTTCTCTTTTGACTTAAATCTATTAGCTGTTTTGATGTGCAACAAAACTTTTTTTAGTAATCCATGCCTCTTCGTTGTTTTAACATTTAACTTTTTTTTTACAAGCTAGAGAAAAACAAGTTGTTCTTTTTCTTATTGTAACTTATGAGACTTTCTTTCCAGGCTCTCACCGATCCCTGCGGCCCCCTATAAACCCTCATTGAATCCCTTCACAATTTTTCTTGACCCCACTAAACCCGCATAGCCATGTATACAACTCTGTATTATTCTACACAACTTAATCCAATTTCTAAAACATCCCCGCGAATCTTTCTATGAGATGAGGCAAAATTAAGGCATTTTTTTGTTATTGTAACTCATAGATTTTGCTCCCCCTGGACCCCCACGGATTTACAAAATACCGTACGTACTCAAATACATAGTTATTTTAATTTACGTGTTCCCAACAACCAGAAGGTAAATAAAGAGATTTAATACATGTAAAAAATGGAAACATGAATTAAGTATTTTGATTACATTCAATGTTGAATTAAAAAATTATAAATCATAAGTATCAATTTTTTTCAGATTACTTGTAAGTATGAAATTGTTTTATATCGCAATAAAATAGATACATAAATTTAAAGAAACTTTCTACTGAGTTACATAAAAACAGAAACCGTAATGTTACTGCAGAAGTCTACTATTTTTTAGCTAAGATCATTTTTGTCTTACCCACAAAGATAAAATAGTTTATTTATGGATTTTTGTATGTAGATGGAAAATTCTGATTTAATGACCATCACTGAAGGCCATTAGGTGAGAAAATCAATATGAAAAAATTAAGGGATTTCTTTCAGTGAGTATTATCAATTGTACTAAGTAAAAAAAAGATGTATTTTTGAGCGTTCGCGATGACGTGAAATGTACCATGTATCTGACTATAGTATATAGTTGTTTCGTGTTGGGGAGTCACAATTCCCCTCCAAGCCCCCCTCTACACCAAATAAGGTAAAATTCGATCGCTTTACTTTGACATAGTAAAAAATATGCTAGCCCCACATTAAGCCCCCAGCGCGCCCCCACAACCCCCTACAGACTTTTTCGGGCCCCTTACACTATTTTAACGTGCCGAGCATGATAATAAAATTTATGCACTTTAGTGTTTTAAACATATTATAATAACGTAATTTAACTTATATCACTTAACGGATCAAAACCAAAGACTTGTTAACAAAATACAATTTTCAACAAATTTACCATTGTGTAAATAAACTTGTAATAGAATTACTGAAGAGGCTGGAAGACACTTAACATAGTAAATGAATGATTTTTTCAAAACAACATCCAAACAAATTACCGTTTAGACTTCTTATCCAAAGAATAAATAATTCTAATCAGTGACATTGATTGTACTTAAAAAAAAAATAAATTCCTCATTCTCCTGTTACTGCTCAGATCGTGTCCAGTACTCATACTCACGTGCCGTAAAATCCAAAACTTTAAAAACGTCAAATTGTGTTGAATGTTTTCGACTTTACTTAACATATTATCTTATACCAATATATTGATCCCTTCATTGAGCTAATCGATCATTTAGAGTCAAATTATCTATTCTGACCAATGTCCGCAACTCAGTTTCACTCATGAAAGCTTTTACTGGTAAACAATTAGGCTTATATGCCACTTAGGCGTGTAAGCATTAAATACTGTAGC